GTTTTTACCAGAATTGTAACGGTGGTCTATTTCTGGGCTGAAAGCTTGTATATATAACTCGCTAAAGCTTGAATACAATACAATACAATACAATACAATCACATAGACTGCGTTATGCATCTGTACAGATGCAGCGAAAGGATCCAGCATACAATGTGCAAACCTGTTTTTGGCTTGTTTATTCAAATATCTGTATAGTGCTTAATTAGAACTAGAGCTTTTCATTTGGATGCTTATTTGGGACTTCTTTTCAAATCCTTTGTCTTGTTTCCGCGGACCCTTTCGAGATTTTTTAACCATTCTGGGGACTTTCGGGTATTATTTGACCAAATCAGCTAAACGAGGGATATTATGCATTCCATTCTAATGAGGTCTGGTGGTAAATCTAAAACGAATGAGGTTGTTCACTTGTTTTTCATTGTATTTAAAATAGCCAATAAAAAGATAATTTGTTTGGATTCCGCACATGGAAAATATGTGGGTGGCTTGCATCCTAGTTGCGCCAAGACAAACGTCAATCAACTACAAGAAAAACACTCTTGTAGGTGAATTCAACTATGTTGTAGAAATGTTGTCGCTGATTGTCATAGTTCCCAATTGACCGGAAATTCAAATCCTTTCTTGCAAACCATAGGGGTGCGGTGGAAAATGGGACCGGTGCGGCTAAACACAACTGGTCAACGTGACATTGGAACTGTTGAAACACTTATCGCGATGGATTCTAAAAATAACCGGATACAAGCACGGGATGTGGGGGAGGGGTATATCGCCCGGTTGATTCGAAAGAGCTCACCAGATGCATTTCTGTAGATCAGATTTACTTTCACGTGGTTTGTGTGATTTGCGCCATCACGAAAGAAACATCACTCTTCATTTCGTTCTGACAGCCAAGCTAAATGAAACAGAAAATTGACATTCGTATCACGAACACGGGAGTATTTTGTGAAGTTCATTTAGTCACATCAACAGTTGAGCATCGCACCGAAAATCATAGATTCCTATTCCAACTGCATCCACATCCACAAGCTTCAATACATTGAGCGTACACCGAGCTTATCGATCAGGTTTGATCCTGATTTTGAAATATCGTACTACACCTGAGTTCATGATATGGTGACTTCATACCGCATACTACCGATCTGTTTACGGAATTCGATACCGTTAACGTATTTTTTTTTACAAATTACAATGCAACCATAATTAATGCAATGATGTGATAGCCAAACGTTGTAATTGTTCTGTAATCCTGTTTCTTCATGACCAGTGGTTTAGCAGACCATATAATTCACACTTAGTATAACTGAGGATGATGTGGGATCGAAATCAACTTGCGATTCTAGCCAGCTCCTGCATGAGCAGGCTGGTTACAGTAGTCAGATAAATAAACCTTCCAAACAATGTGTCTAAGTTCCAAATCTCGAACAGAACGACAGGTATACACTACTAATGGGTGCTAAGACGAGTAAATTTCGAGTTTAGTGCTTTTCGTGTGTACGGAAGATTGGACCAGCTGTGGGTTTTGTGTAAGATCAAGTTCGAAGGGTGACGAGGCGGTATTAGAACCACCAAATTCTGAAGTGTGCAATGATATTCTGTGACATGAAGTTTATATGGATAATACATAAATCCGAGATATATATATGATCCCGAAAAGGCTCAGGGGTGGGTATTATGGGTTGTGGTTGATTACCATTCTCTTACACCTCAATAAAAGCGCTTATACGACCAAGCGTCCCAAATTGCCTCAACTGATGAAGCCCTCTTGCTCCCTGTCTTCCCTTGACAGAGGGATTTCCCATCAAAGTGAGGGGACTATAAGCCAACATCCGGGGCCGGCGGTGAACCACCCAGGGGAGTTGGACAGAAACCCTGATTCCCAAATAACCAAGAGGAAGCGCATGAATCACACACCCCTCCCGGTTGCGGCAGTGGTCACCCGCTTAACTGGGTATTGTGTTTTATTGAACGTTTTGCCCCGTCTAAAGGGTACATGATCCGATAAACTGGAAACGGGCGCCAAATGAATTGCTGTTTCCACACACCGCCCTGATGTCTTGCGGATCAAACTTTAACTGATCGATGGCTCCAGTTGTAAATTCCTCAAGAAACATTACCGGTTTTGGCCCGGGCAACCTGTTAGTATTCCGCCCATGTGTAAATCACGTACCTTTTCCTTTTTTATAAAAATTATTGTGCCATGATCTGTTTGACATACAGTCTGGATTCAGACGTGTGTAAATATATATATATGTAAATATTTGAACTGTATTAATTCCGAACCTCTTATTTCGCTTTAGTGTTCCTATTTCTCTTTTATCACAGTTCAAATTGACACCACAATTAGTGTTATGATAAAAATTGTACCTCAACAATTACAGCTCAAAATTTGAAAACAAGTGTTACAAAGCAGCACGGAAATTCACTTTTTTAAATAAATAAGTAATCTGCAAGATCCACATGTAAATTGATTGATTGAGTGTGTTATTGGGAGACTCCTTGATCTTGATACCTTAAGAAAAAGTGAAAAATGAAAGATGGCACATGTAGTGTTGACAAAATTAATTCATTTCTGAGTGTTATGCTTGTCAGTTATTTTGTGCAATATCTTAATACATTATTCTATTACCACAAGCGACGGACGTTGAAACGTCATCAAAATCACGAACTCGTTCCTTCACATATATGTCACAATAATAAAACAGGTAACAATAGGTAATATATGTGCTCCCTGACAAGCGTTCTGTGTGATATTGCCTCATACACCGCCCCTGGAATGAAAACAGTAGATGCCTGGCATGGTGTCAGATGATTTGGATCAATATCTCCTTATTTCTCTCGCACGTTTTGGACCACACAAAGTCTCTGCGAAAACCAATGCAGTTTGTGCAGTTTGTTAACGTAAACCTGGGATGTAAAATTCTTTCCTCAGTTACTATCATAGTAAGGGGTACAATGCAATTTGAGTGTTTGATAAAATATGCATATGTGAATGCATTCAAAATAATAGATTGAATGCGACCGGTAGATATTTTAATAAAGCACGGAACCAGTCATCAGCTGATCCAAGGTGAATTGTAGATAGGGAAAAATGGATTGGGCACGTTGTTTGTGGGCTTATTCTTATAATAAAATCCTTTTATGGACATATTTACACGGAATGAACTCTGAGTAGCGTCGGACAATGAGGCACCAATAATATGTCGTCAGAAATTCGCTAAACCGCGTCATCTAGACCGATTGTAATTCATGATCAACTCCGAAATCAATGTATTAGATCCGTGCAAACTACCGGTTATTCGGTCTGATACTCCGTAATCGGATAAACTGTCACAAAACTCGTGTGAATGAACAAAACACATTTGTTTTGTGTGTTTTTTTCAGTTGATTTCAGATGTTCGGTTGTGCCAGTCTTTTACGGTTTATGATGTGATAGTCACGTGTGTATGCGTTTGGCTTTGTTCCGTTCGGCAAAATCCAAATCCTCCAAATAAATTGCGTCAGTAGTACAACACCTTTGAGTCTTCCACAAGGCATTTTTTTTGAGAGTGCAAAAAGCTAAATAAAATACATTTCACACCATTTTGGATGTAAACAAGGACGGGTTACACGCAAATTTTGCGTGCGTGTTCACTCGTCCTTTAAACTGATCATACGGATGTGCTTGAGTTCTGATACTGTTCGTTCCGTCCGGTTTAAAAAATAACCCGTTTCTAAGAGAATTTTTTTCATATTTATTTCAGTAAACGTTTCCGAAACATCAAAATTGAAATATCATTCGGTTTTCTGTTTGATTAATAGAGCGGAAAAATGGACTCAACGGGAGTTAAATCTTATGTCATAATCATCGATCATTTGTTCAAATCGACTTTAAGGGTGCCGGTGTTGTACAACACATTCACTGGGTTCGATTCTACCGATTACAACTGAATGATGCATAAGGGGAAATTAGTACTAGTACAAACATGTTCCATGCTATGTTTTAAATAGCGCGTCGGTCAAGATGGGGATAGATTCAGTTGAGAAAAAATGGATTTAATCGAAAAGTACATTTCTGTGATCACAGTAATGATACACAATTAGTCGCCTATCGGAAACCTGTCTCACCTCAAATGATATCTTGAAATGTTGCGATTAGGTAAACATGTTCAAGTCATTGCTTTTAATCGACACTATTTGCATTGGGGAATGAATAAATGATTTTGGGTCCTGGGTCTGACATTGTTTATAAAATAAAGCGCGCGCGTGCTGCATGTGACAAAATGCAGTACCGTGACCGAATGCGAATAAAACTCCTCATAGAAAATTTGTGCAAAGTGGTGCTTTTATGGAAGGAACTATCAAGCCACTAATTTACCGCAAACTTCCCTATTCAAAACAGTTCGGGGTATCTACCCATCATTGGTAGTTATGAATTATCGATCGATTCCGTAATCCATTCACAATTAGTGATCATTTCCTTAACGATGTTTTCCCTACAAGACTCAGTTGGCAACTGTTCAACAACCAGTGACAAAAATGATACTCCTTCCGATGCACGACACTTCACTGATTACTCTACAGATTGCGTAGCTTTCTGAGGGCCCTACAGACGGACAACGGATTTGCCCCAAACTCGCATTCATCAAAAAAACGCCAGTGGTAGGAGCAATACAATTGCATTGAACGCAACAATCAAGCATTCCATTGATAGTGTAAGCAACGCAGATACCTCACGTGATTTTGCAACGCGGACACAGCATTTAGGCCCTCGCTAAGGGATGTTCTCCCATGGAACGGGAATAGCCATCGCTTTTGGTAAAACTCTAGATTTACGCAATTGAATCGGATCGTTAAGGCTGAGTAGACGTTTCTCTGAGCTATAATGTGCTTCCTCGAATCTCCTTCTGCAATATTTCCCTGTTAGCCGGGCCCGAGGAAATCTGTTAGGGATGTCATCTAACTGTGTTTGCATCACCGAATTCCTATCCATTTTTCGAGGTGAGCATACACTCTAGAGCGGCATGTTTTATGCGGCAAATCCACGGGAATTCTTTTATCGTGTTTGGATTTTGTCAATTTATGCATTGGGTATCTCATTGATTTTTCGGAGTCCGCAAAATAAAAGTGCAAATTATGTTTCCCATTATCGCCTGAATAACACCTCCGGAGGATATATTCATGCTGCTGCCGCTGCTGCCGCTGCTGCCGCTGCTGCTGCTACTGCTGCTGCCGCTGCAGCTGTTCTTGCTGCTGTTGCTGCCGCTGCTGCTGCGGCTGGTGCTGCTGCTGCTGCTGCTGCTGCTGTTGCTGCTACTCTTGCTGCTGCCGCTGCTGCTGCTGCTGCTACTGCTGCTGCCGCTGCAGCTGTTCTTGCTGCTGTTGCTGCTGCTGCTGTTGCTGCCGCTGCTGCTGCCGCTGGTGCTGCTGCTGCTGCTGCTGCTGTTGCTGCTACTCTTGCTGCTGCCGCTGCTGC